GAGGATACCCACACAGAAGTCAGGTAAACTAACTTAAGTACAAATGCCCACTTTAAGAACTGCTTTATTATATACCTATAATGTTTGGCACTATGGTCAAAAATACAAACCCATTAGTTACAGAAGTTTGTCAATTTCTAAATTCCACTAACCTTTATTAGTATTGCTAATTGTACTACTGTAAATATGAAAACATAGTTGCATCAACCACACGTTCTCCCTTGAGTAATAATATCAGGAAGTGCTTGGGTAACAATCTCACCAAAGCCCTACACCAAAGGACCAAAGGACAGAGGACAGTGCTAATCAGAAACCAGTATTTCACTCTCAAACAATAGAGAAGGAAACATCTTGGGACACACACAAAACAAGAATCTTTGACACTGGAGAGGTACCTAAAGAACATACTTTTCACAGAGAGGCTTCGATTGCAGTGATACAGCTACCTACAATCAAACTTTCACAAAAAGGCATTGCAGAAATCAAAATAAGGAGTTCTCTCTGAAACAGAAAATGACAAAAGGAGCGAACTGCATTCTCAGGAGCCAAGCCCACCCAGAACAAATGTAGGAGACATGAGCATAGAAGAAATTGTAAGGCACACAACTGAAATTTCTCAAATGATAGCAACTGAAGTAAAGAAACAACTGAGGAAGGGTACAGAGGAAGTCAGATCAGAAATAATCTCACAGATTAAATAAAAGAAATGGCACCTATCATGAAAGAAATACTAACTGTTGCTAAAGAAGACACTGATTGAAAAAGGCATGAAAATAGAGAAATGAAGGAAACCTTGAGTAAGCAATATAAGAAATAAATGAAATGCATGAAGCAGATTCAAAAAGAGATATACAGGAAATTAAAAACTCAATCATAAGGCCAGCGGTATAGCTCAGCATACTGAGTGCTTGCTTAGGTAACTGCACGGGACAGGGTTCAATCCCTGGCAGCACATATTGTACCGGCCCCAACCCCAGGCAGACTGAGCTAGCAATGGAGTCCAGGCCTGGTGGCACATGCCTGTAATCACAGCATTAGGGAGACAGAAATCAGGAGGATCACTAGAAGCCTGAGCTGTGTAGTGAGAATCTGCACATACATACACACACAAAAAAAAATCTATCACAGAAATAAATGAAATGCATGAAGCAGATTCAAAAAGAGATATACAGGAAATTAAAAACTCAATCATAAGGCCAGCGGTACACCTGGCAAAAACCATTTGAATGAAGTGAAGATAGACTTTCAGACATTAAAGACACAATTTCAGCTAGAGGAAAGGTAAGGAAAATTCTCTTTAAAAAGGTAGGATCCAGAAAACAATAATTCAACAGGTACAAGATGATGCAAAGAAGAATGACATAAGACTAGCAGAGGGCTGGAGAGATGGCTTAGTGGTCTAAAGCACCTACTTGGAACAAGCTTGGCAAAGCACAGGGACCACGGTTCAATCCCCCAGCACCACATGCCAGCCAGCCCTGCCCCCTGGTGGGCTGAGCTGGCCACACACACACACACACACACACACACACACTAAAAAAAAAATGTAATAAATAAAAAATAAAAAGAAATATAAAAAAAAAAGACTAGCAGAGATCATTGAGGAAAAAAGGGCCAATACAAATGAAATAAAAAGAATGGGGGCAGAAGTAATAACAGAAAACTTCCCAAATATTGGAAAACAATCTGCAATTCAAGTAACTGAGGCATATAGAACTCCAAATAATATCAACCCAATTAAAACTAAACCCAGACATGTAATAATCAAGATCCCAGAAATTAAACACAAGAAAAACATACTAACAGCCACTAGAGAAAAGAAATGGATCATATTTAAAGGAAAACCCATTAGAATAACAGCAGAATTCTCCTTACAAACCATCAAGTCAAGAAGAGCATGGATTTTTAAATGTTTTTTTATCATATTATGTAGGGACTTAAAGTTCAACATATCAATACTTGATGAAAAATACCT